GGTCCATCCAAGAGGGTGATAGAGTATCAACCTCCATCACATCTGGCTCCAAGATTGAAGAAGTGTCCAAGATCTCGACCGGGACCGATCTAGCCAGGTCGGTCTCATATGCTGATGCCAATTTGGCTAAGGCATCCGCATTAGAGTTCTCAGATCTTGGAACTTGACTCACCTCGTAAGTCCCAAAATGGGCGAGGTGCCATCTGACCTTGCTTAGATATTTTTCCATCCGGGGGTCCTTCGTTTGGTACACCTCCTTAATCTGATTTACGATTAGCTGAGAGTCACTAAAGACCTTAATGTGGTTGGCCCCCAGCCCTTTGGCAACGCGCAGGCCTACCAGGAGTGCTTCATACTCGGCCTCATTATTCGACGTCCGAAAGTTGAATCGCAGAGCATACTCGAATCGCTCACCTCCTGGTGCAAGCAAGAGGATCCCTGCCCCGCACCCCCTCTCGTTGGAAGATCCATCAACGTAGATCGTCCACGGGAGGTCGGACTTGGCCAACTGAGGTGGTGAAGTGAGCTCTGCGATAAAATCGGCCACTGCTTGCCCTTTCAACGCAGTTCTGGGCTCGAACTGGATGTCGTACTCGCTCAATTTCAATGCCCACTTCATCAGACGCCCATATGTTTCGGGCTTAAGGAAGATATTTTTCAGGGGCAAGTTTGTGAGTACTACGACAGTGTGCGCTTGGAAGTACGGCCTAAGTCTTCGGGCTGAAGTGACTAAAGCGAGGGCCAGCTTCTCCATTTGGGGATATCTGGTCTCGGCCTCGGTCATGGCCTTACTGGTGTAATAAACGGGACTTTGGCGTGCGCCCTCCTGCCTGATTAGTGCCGAGCTGACGACACTATCAGACACTGTCAGGTACAAATGGAGCTTCTCTCCTGGCAATGGTTTTGCGAGTAGAGGTGCCGAGCAGAGATAGTTTTTTAACTGCTCTAACGCTTGCTCACACTCTACCGTCCATTCGAACTACCCTTTCTTCCTAAGAACCTTGAAGAAAGGAAGGCACTTGTTCGTTGATCTTGACACGAACCTATTCAAGGCCGCAATCCTGCCGTTGAGGCACTGAAGCTGCTTTAGAGTCTTGGGTGCCTCCATCTCGAGCACGACCTTTATCTTCTCTAGGTTAGCCTTGATCCCACGGTTGTTTACCATGAAACCAAGGAATTTTCCCGAAGAGGCTCCAAAGGCACACTTGGTCTGATTGAGCTTCATTTGGTATTTGCAAAGCACTCCAAAGGCTTCGGTCAGATCGGAAAGATGCGACTTTGACTGCTTGCTCTTGACAAGCATGTCGTCCACATACACTTCCATATTCCGACCGATCTGCTTGGCGAACATTTTGTTCACCATTCTTTGGTAGGTCGCACCTGCATTCTTTAGGCCAAAAGGCATCACCTTGTAGCAGTACAGACCTTGGTCTGTTATGAACGTGGTATGATCTTGGTCTGGCAAGTGCATTTTAATTTGGTTATATCCGGAGTAGGCATCCATGAAGGTGAGCAGCTCGTGCCCGGCCGTTGCATCCACGAGCTGGTCGATCCTCGGAAGGGGGAAGCAATCTTTTGGGCATGCCTTATTTAGATTTGTAAAGTCCACACACATCCTCCACTTCCCGTTGGATTTTTTAACCAATACTACGTTAGAGAGCCACTCAGGATACAAAATTTCTAGTATATATTCAGCTTTTAAGAGTTTGTTTACTTCCTCAACAATTACATCACTCCTCTCTTTATTTACAGGTCTTCTTTTTTGCTTTACAGGTCGGAATGATAGGTCTATGTTGAGGCGATGCACCATGATCTTTGGGTCGATGCTAGGCATGTCCTCGTGAGACCATGCGAAGACGTCCGAGTTAGACCTGAGGAAGTTGATCAGTTCTTCCCTGTCAGTGGCCCCCAGCTTGGTTCCTATGCTTACGTGTTTTTCAGGGCTAAGTAAAGGAACAAGCTCGAGCTCCTCTGCTGGCAGAGAAAACTGGCTTTTGCTTTTCCTCGGGAGGTCGTCTTCACTGGTTTGCTCTTCCAGGGTACATACCGACGAACCTTTGAGCGTGGACGCGTAGCACTCCCTTGAAGTTTTTTGTTCACCTCGGACCGTCCCCACTCCATTAGGGGTTGAGTACTTCAGGACTTGATGCAATGTGGAGGGGACGGCCCGAAATGAATAGATGATGGGTCTTCCTAAGATGGCGTTGTAGGCCGACCTGCCGTCGACCACCACAAACTCAGCCATCTGCGTTACTTGGGTAGCATCTTGTCCAATCGTGACTGGTAGATTGATACACCCTTCAGGGGAGACCGATTCTCCAGAGAATCCAACCAAGGGCGTTGGACTTTTCTTCAACTGTGACCTGGTCCATCCCAAGGCAAGATATGTTGGGAGAGACAAGATGTTGACAGATGCGCCTCCATCAACCAGTACTCTTCGGACCAGGACGTGGTCGATGAGAGGAACGTTCACGAGCGCGTCATTATGGGGCAAATGGACCCCCTCTAGATCGGCATCGTCGAAAGTGATGGAGCACGTGGGCTTCTGCTCCCTGATGATACATACCTCGCGTCTGGCCTCGCGAGCTAACTCTTTTCTTTTGTTTCTGGACTGGCCCCCACTCGGGCCCCCGAAAATAGTGTTGATGACCGCAGGTCGGTCATCCCGGTGAGGCGGCGTTCTTGAACGCTTCCTATCTTCTTTCTTTTCAACCGAGTTAGACCTCGGTTTGCCCACAAATTTTTTGAAGTAGCCGTCTTGAATGAGGTATTCAATCTGGCGCTTCAATTCCCAGCAACTTGACGTATTGTGGCCGTGATCGCGATGAAAACGGCAGTACTTGTCTTTGTTACGTTTTTCTGGGTCTCCCCGGAGCTGCTCGGGTCGCTTGAGGAGCTTTTCCATCCCAGTATCCTCAATGTTTGTAAGTATTTCAGAGATTGGGATGGTGGTCGGGGTATAACATTCGTAAGGTCGGCTTCGGCTGAGGCCAACATCCGACCTGTGATACTTGGACTTGACATCTGTCCTCCTCTTCTCCTGGTTCAATTTCTTCTGGTCGATCTGCTTCTCAGGTCGGCCAGTTTTGGTTTGGAGGAGCTTCTGTCCATCAATGACCTTCTTCGCCTTCTGCAGGACTTCAGCGAAGGTTGCTGGAGCCTCCTCTCCGAGCTTAACGGTGAGGGTCTCATCGGCCAGGCCGGTGAGGAAATAGCACATGGCCGAATCATCGGAGCAGTGCACGACCTTCAACTGCTCCTCCTGGAACCTCGTGACATACTCTCTCAGCGTCTCTCCTTCCTTCTGTCTGATAGTGGCGAGATGAGTCGCTGTCTTTCTGTCATAATGTCGAGAAGAGAACTGGCTAATAAATTCTTTTCTCAGCTGAGAGTAAGTCGAGATCGACCTAGCCGGCAGCCTTCGATACCATAGGCGCGCGCTGCCGGTAAGCGCGATCTGGAAGGCACGACATTTAATTGCATCCGTTGCCGCTTGAAAGTCCATGAGGCCTTCGAAGACCTCAACGTAGTCTTTAGGGTCCTTAGACCCATCATAGGGCTTCATAGTGGGAGTTTTGAACTTTGGAGGGATTGGAGCCTCCATAATATCCGAAGTGAATGGCGATTCTCCCAAGTCGCCATCGTCAAACGAGCTTTCCTTCTTCTCGCACCTAGCTTTGAGTGCCTCGACCTGTTCATCGAACCTGTGCTTCATCAGGTCGAACTCTTCCCTGGTGATCACAGCTTCTGGTGTTAGGGGCTTATACTTTGACTGAGCCTTAAGGTCAGAGTTGGAGAACTCTCGGGAGTAGGACGGAGAATCTTCCGGCTCTCGAGAGGCTTTCTTCTTCTTATCAGTGAGGTGTTTTCTAAGATCGTTGTCTCGCAAGCTGTAATCCACCCCTTCATTGTTAGGAATGGGCTCGCGATCACCAGGTTGGGTAGATGGAGCTCCCTTTTCACCGGGTGCGCCTGGGACTCTAGAGGGAGACGCAGTTCGGTTAGCACGTGTTGCCTCAGCGTACATTTCTTCCATCGTGCGCAACCGATGTCGCATATCATCCAATTCGCGCTGGAGAGTAGACAAAGCCTCAGGGTCTGCCGCCGGGTTCGCCCTTCGGGAGACCTTTCTGGAGGTCCCACCTCGACCTCGATTGGCTTTTGAGGGTTTCGGGTGGGCGGGTGGCAACTCCTGGTTCGCATGGCGGGCCGATCTCCGTGGAAGATCTCCCTCTTGCCCTGCTCGAACCTGGTCCTCGACCATTACAGCGTCAAGGTCTCACTGAGGACCGTTATCAGCATTCACACCCCTCCGCTCTGTGGTATTAGCAGAGCTCGCTTGATGCACCATTTTTGCGTATATTTTCTAGATCGGGATGACTTGAGATGTCTTGTTCCCACAGACGGCGCCAAATGTTTATGCAGGAATTTGCACAACGGTTCTTCACGAATCGAGCTCAAACCCGGTCTCCGGTTCCGACCTGAAGACTAGAGTAGACCTGCACAAGAGGGTAAGCACTCCGACGCTCAAGTCAGTATAGATCGGACTCCTTATTTAGTTCGAGGTGAGATTCGATACCTGAGCGTGAAATGAAGTCCTCTATTTATAGGTGATGGATCCGACAGTACACAGGACCGGCGGTTATGTGTCTTTTCTCATATCGGGCCTGTCGGGTTCCGAGCAGGTCGGACCCCAGTCAGGTCGAACCTTGGTGCCCATACTTAGTCTTTTATAACGGGTGAACCCGGTCTCCTCGGCGGGGCCGAGGTGGACCTAAGCAATCCTTTTTATTTGGTTTCTTCAATCACTAACAAGGGTCCTCCACGTGTCTCGGGTATGTTTACCCCCAAACAACTCCGATTCTGATTGTTCTATTTAGTTTTGCAGGTTTCGTCGATTCCTTCTATTATAGAAGATTGATGCAACTTTTGGCGAAATCCTAAAATATCAAATTTGTGCATCTAAACAATTTTGAAAATATTTCTAAAATAATGCAAACCTCTGTTGTACAAGAAGGTAGATTCTGTCCATCAAGAGATTGAGATAGCCTTCAATCATACCATAAGCATCCAAAAGGTTTTGATGTTTAATTACTTGCTCGCACTGCAAACATTAAAGAAAATGGAATATTGATTCAAAAAAAGGTTAGAACTTCTGTTCGAAAAAAAAATAAAAGAAGAAAGAATCCTCAAAATGAAGGTTTGAGACTCGTATTTCTAAGAAATATACTTTAACCAAAGCCATATTCAACTTGGTAAATATGATATTAGTAAAAGAAATTAAAATAAAGTAAATTAAAAAACTTATTCTGACTTTAACTTTTGTTTTGACTTCTAAAATTTAAATAATTTATTCCAGTTCCAGCTTTGAAATGTCTTGGTTTAACATATGATTTTGTAACTATTATAGTCTTTTAACTATTTATTTTTATATTCATTAACCTTTTTTCCTTTCCAAAATCTTTTTTTAGCACAACATGTGGAAGTAATTTAAATTCATACTTTTTAGTCGGAGATATATGCATCAACTAGATGAACTGTGTTTAGGTTGACATTGGATGAAATCTCAATTCATTTGTAAACCCAACTTCTAATTTACTAGATGTTGGTTTAAATATTTGTTTACACATATCTACTTATCAAATTAATGAACAATATGCCAAAGCGAGAATAGATTAGTGGTAATTGACATATATCTCTGATCTGGAGGTCATGAGTTTGAAATCCCACCTCATATGTTATACTAAAAAAAATAAATAATAAGTTCATTCCAACCGCCATCAACAAAATTTCTACTTTTTCCCAAGTGACGTCACCACGTAACTAAGCATATTAACAAACTAATAATTTAATGATACGTAAGCTTTCTAGTAATAAATTTTAGTAGGTTCATTAAAAAAAACATAATTGAGAAAGATTTATTACTTTAAAAGCAAAATTAACAATTTCAAAAAGTTAAAAAGAACTAAATTAAGAATTATTATCTAAAATATTAATGACACAATTGGATATACTTAGTCTTACAAAATTAAACGCAAGGACTAGACTAATTTAATTGATCTTACAAAATTAAACGCAAGGACTAAACTAATTTTGTATATATAAATTAAAGAGACAAACGAAATGTCCAAGAATTCAAAGAGGGAAAGTAAAATAAGCATACAACTTCACTAATTAAACTTAAAATAGAATTGAATTTATATCAATCCTAAATTCAATGGTGGTAATAATCATGTATGGATCTCTAGATAAAGTTTGTAGTGAAAAGTTAACCTCTAGAAAACAAAAAGTACTTACTCATGATTTGAGATATTTTTCATGGTCGAAAGTTTCAGCCACGAAAATATTTCGTAACTGAAGTACATTTTTGTTGTAGTGATATATAAATTTAATTATCACGGCGAACAAAAAAGAAGAATCGAAGAAGTGTGTACATACACGAGAGAGGGCGAGATTGTGGAGGCCATCCTGTTGGAGGAGGCGAACGACGTCGTCGCGATCCTGGGAATATCTGCGGCGGCGATGGGTGTTGAGCGATTGGAGGCGGGTGAAAGCGGAGTGAATAAGACGTCTGAAATTGGAGGACTTGAAAGTTCTTCCGAGCAGAGGATTCAGAATTCTTCTCATGTTTTTCAGAGTGAATGAATGGTTGACTCTCTTTTGCCTTTGGTCTTTCTTTATTTTGTTGTTAGGAGAGAGATAGAGAGATTTCTTCCCTCCTAAGCTATCTCATTTTTCACAAATTGTATATTGTGTGTTTTTTTTTCTTTGGTTGTATTTTGGTCCTTGCAATTTTAAAATTTATTCTCAAACTTATTTTACTTTTAGTTTAGCAATTTATGCCGTTGGTATTCGAATGGTTAGTTGTTTAATTAAGGGATTAAGTGACCCCTTCTATTATTATTATTATTATTTTGAAAATGACCACCCTTTTATTTTTTTAGTTCAACCATTGTGGAATGGGAGGTTTGATAATCAGAATCTCCCCCTTTTTTTTAAAAAAAAAAGGGAAGGCAGTTGTACTAATGAATGGATAAAGCCACGTGTGCTACACTTGGGACAAAAGCTCTTATGCAATGTCATTGCCATGGAGATAATTCAATTGATTGGATCCATAATCTGATTTTGAGTGCTTCAAAACAGAGGTGTTCTTCATTTCTTGATTCTGACCTTGTAGATGGCTTAGGAATATACTTTTGAAAAGAGGCTGAAATTAGGTGGAGAAACAAGTCTTAGAAAATTCATGTTAATTTCTATACTAATTACCTGTTCTTTAAAATTGCTCGGTGACGATCGATTGATCGTAACAAAATATTTGCTAGAGGTTTTTGGAATCATCAAATGTGTCAAAATAGAGAGACATACTTCAATTTACAAGCTTGATAGAGATTTCATTTGGAAATTTGATTGAATTTTGCAAGTGTTGTTAGCGAGCTTTTGGAGTATTATTGATAACAAAAGGAGCAATAAAAATAGTGAGTATTGTTGAGACTTTCTCTTGATGTTGTGCAATGTATAATTAAGATTAGAGCATGTTCGTTGTTTATCCACTTCAATCATTTTATTTTAATAATTTTTGTCCACAAATCAGTTGTCTTCTCTTAATAGATGTGATCAATTTTCTTGTGTTTGTTTTTGTAACTTTGTTTGTATAAACACATGAAAGTGATCAATTTCTAACTTGTTTGTATAAGTACATTGAGGTGATCATTTTCTAATATTCTTTTATTGGACTTTTGTGATTATAATTTAATGTAATTTGTAACACGTGGTTATAATTTCTGCAAAGTGTCTGAGAAATCTTTGTTCCTTTTCTTTTTAAATATTGTAGCAGAATACGGCAAGTGTACGGGCCGGTCAAGTTTTAATATGGTTGGTAAGCAAATATCGATATCATCTTCAGGATTGAGTTTCCAGATCACTTCAGTACCACATATACTTTTGTCTAATTTTATTTAGAAACTCAAATTGGAATGTTCGAATATGATTAAAGTAAATCAACATAAACTATTAAAGAATGTAAAATCAATGGGAAGAGGGAATATATTTCACCGATTGAATTTATGAACTAATTATTTAATTAATCAAGATTGAGCATATTATCAATTCTATAGGCCAAGAACCCTCAAATCTCAATTTCCTCTCCCGAGCGCAAGCCAAGTCTCCTTTACTAAATTACTAAACAATTCTATCATCATCTCTTCAAGGCAGCAACTTTTTGCAACAAATTCACTTGTTTAGGCATCCATTGTTGATCATAGTCTTGCTAAGACATTGTTAAGAACTCTTGTGGGAATTTCTGTTCGTATTGCTGGGTAAGATTAGAATAACTTTCATCATATTGTCCTCTCCATGAGAAATTTGAATGATCTCCCCAATCTTAGTTGTAGGTGTTCAAATAAAGGGTTTAGTTGCACCGGTTCTATTGTTGACCTATAAAATAATTAGAATTATGATTAATTGAACAATATTCAAATATAGTTATCACCACAATGTATACAAAAACAATTGATTTTCACAAGCTATGAGAAAGTTAATTCTCATTACTTGGTTGTGCTGCATTTGAAACATTGATGAAATTGGATCGTTCAAAGCACTTTTTGTTGGGTGAAACAATAAAAGTACACTCTCCTACTTTTTTCTCTTTTTCGGTTTCTAAGTCTCTATTCCTTCTTTAACGACCTCTTTAAAGTTGTGTCAATCTTAGGATCGAGAGACAACATAAAAAAAGTTCTATGCTCATACACCAACCAAAACTCATGAGGTTAAGAATAAATATGAGAATATGGTAAAACAAACACGACAATTGCACACATCAACAGATCGCAAAAATTAAAAAAAAAAAAAAAAACTACTCAATCCTTGGCAAAGGCATCAAAAACTTGTTTGGGATTTTGAGTTAAAACTAAATGGAAAGAGCACAAGTGTACACCATCACAAGTAATAAATGGAATGAGTATTCTGAGTATTGATCCTTAGGGACTAATATTGTCTTTTTTGATAAAAATGGTAATGGTCGGAGAGTTTGTAATTGGTTTAAGGTGACCCAGCCCTAGTTACTTCAGATTAGCTAACAAATAACGTCGGGACTAACTCGGGACACTTGGTATCTCTCTTTATATTTAACGATTACGCTTCTTAATCCGCTTATATCTAAGTGATCTCGAAGTAATAAGTTATTTCTAATATAACTATTAGAAAATCTCTTAGTTTTGGTCTAAAAATAATCACTATATCTAGGCTATAGTTTTGGTTTTAAAAATAATCACTATATCTAGGCTACTTAAACGAAACCTTTATATGTGAACGCCTTCCTCTCCTTGATTTAATCCCTTAAGTTGTATAAACATGTAAACCTTCCTATGGAAAACAACTTATGTGAGGAAGGAAAAATAGAATTTAATGGAGTTGTAAATGAAAAACATGATTTGAGATCGAAGTAATAAGAACAAAGCTATAAACGAGAAAGTTTGCAATCCGAATGAACTTTACCCTTTCTCTCTCGAGCTTAGGGGCGTAAGAACTTGTTCTATCCCAAATAATGTGTGATTGTAAGATTCTATTGATGAACAAGAAGGAAATGAGATGTAAAGAATGAAAGAACAATGCTGGAATTCTATAAATAGAAGTTAAAATTACAAGAACAAATAACAATAGTTCTGATTAAAAAGTAAAGGAAGGCAATAAAGAAATAAAGTCAAATGAAGAGCAATGTAAAACTGATCTATGCTGATAAAAAATTCTAATAAAGCTTGTAAGGTGATCAAGAACGATAGAAAGCTTGATGAAAATGAAGGAGAAACAAACTGAATTTATAGGAAACTTCGAGTTGGTTGAATGATTGAGAAATTTCATGGAGATCCAATGGTTGAGAAATTTCATGGAGATCCAATGGTTCTTAACTTGTTTGACTAATCTTTTGCTATCAAATATTCAAGTTCTTTGCATGGGTGACACGTGGCTCCTAGGTGTAGTTTTCTGCATAAAAAAACATAAATTTTATTATAATTGTATCTTTATTTGTCAAAAAAAACTTATATCTACATGTTTAACCCAGAATACAACGACTATCCACAAATTGGACATAAAAGTAACCCATTAAGAACTATTTCTAAGTAAAATATAGTCGAAAAGTATGAAATTGACCTATCCTTACCCTTGTAAACCAGAGTAATCACATTTATAAAAAGTTGTAACAAACTTTTCTAAACTTTGAGAAATGCTATAGAAAAGTTTACTTAGCTTTTTATAGAATTTTTGTTTATATTCTTATAGCATCTTTTAAACAAAAATTTGAGATACTTTATATAGGTAACAAATAGTATTAAATATTATTTCAATTGGACTCATCATCTATATTATGTATATATATTTTTTAGTACAATAAGTATTATGGTGGGTAGATTTGAACTCACGGCTTCTTTATCAGAGACATGCAATTATTGGCTAAGCTCATGTTGTCCAATCTATATCTATACTGTATTAAAAAGGACAATCATAGACAAATATTTTTGGACTAATATGACCTTCTTTCAATTTCTAAATTACTAGACATGTCACTGCCAATTAATTTCCAACAATCAATTAATTTTTTTCTCTCATTCTTTAATTAGATAACCATTTATTTATAATTACAAAATTCATTAGTAATTTGGTAAGCATAAGCTAACCTAAGTTGATTATAAATGTTGACCACAAATTTCGAAGATGTGCACATGTCCCTTAGATGAGCGGTTTCACCGGAGAACAAATAAGTCTGCAATCAGAAAACTCGAAACTAGTGCAGTGTCCCACCTAATGCACTCCGACGCT